AAACAAAACCACAAATGTCCATAAAAGTATAAAAGGAAAAACAAAATGTTGTATACATATAATGGATCATTAATGAACTTCTGATACATGCTAAAACATGGGTGAACTTTGAAGACATTATACTACATAAATAAAACAGGCACAAAAGGACAAATTCTGTGTGATTACATTTTTTATAAGGAACCTAGAGTAATTTTTTTGTCTCAGAAAGTAGAATGGTGGTTGCCAGGACTAGGAGAATGGAGGAAAGGAGCATGGGGAGTTATGTTTAATGAACACACGGTTGCAGATTGAGATGATGAAAAATGTTCTGGAGATAGTTTTTTGTCTCAGAAAGTAGAATGGTGGTTGCCTGAATGAGAGAATGGAGGACAGGAGCGTGGGGAGTTATGTTTAATGAACACGGTTGCAGATTGAGATGATGAAAGATGTTCTGGAGATAGATGGTTGCACAACATATTTAAAAATGGTTAAGTGGCAACTTTTATATTACATATATTTTACCACAATAAAAAAGAAAGTTCATCTTTATCTCTAAGACAGGCAGGCTGCCTCACTGGGGGGCTTGGAACCCCAGGCTTAGCTCCTCAGAAGAATACAAGGGCTCCCCACCACCCTGAGGGCCGGCCCACCTCACCTGTAAGCGGCAATCTCAATATCCAGAGCCATCTTGACATTGAGCAAGTCCTGATACTCGCGGAGCTGGGCTGCCATCTCCCACTTGGTGTTCCTCAGCTCAGTGTCCAGCTGCTGGATAGCGTCCTGAGGGCGACAGGTCACATACCCCTCAAGCACCAGCCGACACCTGGCCCTCAGCACCAGAGAGCTGGGCCGGGCCCTGCAACCCAGAGCAGTCCTGTCCCGGCCCCCAGCTGGAGCCAACACCCACCTTGGCAAAGCCGCGGGGCCTCATGTATGGACATGGGAACCACGTGGAACAAAAATTCAGCTCTGGATAGAGCCTCAGCCTGGGGAATGGTCTGGGATGACACACACCAGACTCCAACAATGCATAATAAGTGCTTTAAAAGTGCCAGTTGTTTTGTTTTGTTTTTTAATACATTTTTATTGATTTCAGAGAAGAGAGGCAGAGATAGAAACATCAATGATGAGAGAGAATCATCGATCGGCTGCCTCCTGCACGACGCCCCCCACTGGGGATGGAGCCGGCAACCCAGGTATGTGTCCTGACCGGGAATCGAACCTGACCTTCTGGTTCACAGGTCGACACTCAACCACTGAGCCAGCTGGCCGGGCAAAAGTGCCGTTTTCTTAAGCCAGTTGTCTTCAATAGGGAATCTGCCAAGGCCTTCCCCAGGTTACCCACACTCACAGACATTGGTTATTATTCACCAAATGCCCTTTTTGTGACCAAAGTCTGCTAAGAACATTCACACTCATCTCTTAAAAAGGTTGTTGTCTCTTTCATCGTCAGAGCTCTGCAAAGTCGGCATTTTTTTTTG